GCCCCGTGCCCGAAGGGAGCCTGCGAGCGGGGCTGGAGGCGGTGATCGGGTGGGAGCTAGAGGAGGAGGAGGAGGAGGAGGGCCCGGCCACCCCTCGCGCGGCTGCCCATGGAGTGTGGAATCCGGTACCGTCGGAGACCGAGCGGGCGGGACGGAGCGCAGTGCAGGAAGACCCGGGCGAGAGCCTATATTTGTGGAAGGGGGAGAAAGCCCCCCCACCCCGGCCGCCCTCCGGAGGACGCGCTGCCCAGAGGGTGCCCCGTGGATTTGGATAGCTTGGGGGGGGGGGTTGAGGCGTCTGGCTGCAGAGCCAAAAATTGGGGAGTTGATGCCGCCGGCCCCCCCCGCCCCGCCTCCTGGACAGGAGCTGGACTCGATCGATGCAGTTTTGAGCAAATCGGGCTCAAAGAAAGGTTCACCGCCACTGCCCTTAGTATATATAGGCATCCTTCAGTCAACTAGTTAGTTACTATTATTAGGTTTTTTTTGCGAGGGGGGGGGGAGAAAAAGAAAAAATAACATTCAAATCCACAAAGATGCTGAACAAGTTAACAAAGTTGGTTAACGTTCGCCTTTAAAAAAAAGTCTCCCCTCTTTTCTTCCAATCGGCACTTTTTTAGTGGGTGGGATTAGGTCTGAGACATACGTGTTCCGCCTTTTTCTTTTTTCTTTTTCCCCTCGGCCTTCTGCCAATTGCTGATCGGAGCCAATCCTGAGTCAAGCGGGGAGGAAAGGTCGCTGCGCTCGGCTAGAGCTGAAAAAGCTGAGAAACGAAACTTAAAACCTTTCCCACCGCCTTCCTCTGCAGGGAGAGACCATGGCGGACGAGAGCGCACTCCAGCATCTCTGCGATGAAACCACTTGTCCCATCTGCCTGGAGTATTTCAAAGACCCTGTGACCGTTGACTGCGGGCACAATTTCTGCCAGGCCTGCCTCACCCAGTATTGGGGGAAACCTGGCCGAGAGGCCTCCTGCCCTCAGTGCAGGGAACCTTGCCCACAGAGGGACTTCAAGCCCAACCGCCAGCTGGCAAGCATCGTGGAAATCGCCAAGAAATTCCGCCTCCAGATGACTTTCGGCTAGATACACCACCCTTCCCAGCAGAAAAGCCCTGAAAAATTCGCGGCTGGTGAGCCAGAAGGATGATGTCCACGTGTGCATCCTGTGCTTGCGGGCCATCATGAACTACCAGGTCAGGCATATACACACTGATGAATGAACTGCCTCTGCCTAAGCTCTGGGATGCGCCAGGTGGCTGTAGGTCAAAACCAGAACTTGGAAAATGTGCTTCTAAAAATTGCAGCTCTCAGAATCTGGATGTCCAAGAAAGGAACATTTCTAAACTCTGCTCAAAAGCAAACATTTCAAGAGTGAGAAAACTCATTCTGTCCTAATGGACCATGGAGAGGTTCCTTTTCTGGACGACAGCGGCCAGAAATCTCAGCAAGCTTGGCTACAAGTGGGACTTTTTCAAGCTCCATTGCTTATTTAGGTTGGTAGCCTGACCCAAAGAGCTGCTGCAGGATAGGGAACAGAATGTTGGACGAGGACTCAAGAATCCTGGGTTCAAATCCACCTTCGGCTATGGAAACTTACTTGGGGGTAGTAGCAGCAATGGTAAGCCACTCCTTGAACACCTCACAAGCCTCAAAAACCCTATTAAGGTTCCTTAAGTCAGAAGTCTCTTAACAGCCTGCCCTTTTTTGATGGAATAATTTAAAGCCAAGATGGACAGGGGTATGTGGGGTAAAGAGGGAGGGAGAGGGAGAGCATGCAAGCACACTTTTGTAGAACAACATTGAATGAAGAGGTTTCTGTACTTTGGGTTTCATTTTTGGGGGCCAAGGGAGAATCAGTGGAAGGGAAGACCGGGCGCCTGGCAATTTTGGATAGTGTTTGGGGACAAGAGATCTTGGGGTTGTGCTCTCCCGTCCCCCAGCCTGAAGGCTATGGTATGTGATGGCCTAGCATTGCTTGTGGGGAGGATAGTGGCAGCTCCAGCAGCAGCATGAGTGAGTTTTGCTTTCCCATAACCCCCAAATGTCAATCTCACCTTAAAAGACTCTAGAGATGCTTCCTACTCCACGTGTCATTGATTGTAGATGGTGTGGCGGGGTGGGATGAGTGATATTTCACCTGGACTCTGTTGCATAATCTGAAACAATGACAAAGTAAAATCTAAAAGTACTGCCGGCAGCCACTGGCTGAATCCTGTTGCTTAGTGTGGTAAGTGACACTAGTAACGGCCCATTGAATCAGTGGGGATTTGGCGAGTCCATTCTTCTGTAAGTGCCATTGATTCTGCTGTAAATATGACTAACTACCCTAAGTGACTAGATTCCAGGCACAGTCTAATATGCCTGGGTCAGACTCTGCAGTACTTTGGAAGCCTGCAAGTATCAAAAGCCACCCACTCAGAACCAGTGCAATTTTCTGCAGTGTGACTATTTGTGAGCCAAGCAATAAGGACTTGAACAGAGTAGCGATAACCACGTGTCACTTAAATCCAGCCTAAGAGCCTTTAGCAGACCTTGCTATTCCTTTTTAAAACTTCTATTTTCAAAGCTGGATAGCTCAGTGGGTTAGGTCTCTGGCCGCAGGAGCCAGAGGTTGGGAGTTTGATTTCTCCCCCCCACCCGGCCCCCCCCGCCCCGCCTCCTGGACAGGAGCTGGACTCGATCGATGCAGTTTTGAGCAAATCGGGCTCAAAGAAAGGTTCACCGCCACTGCCCTTAGTATATATAGGCATCCTTCAGTCAACTAGTTAGTTACTATTATTAGGTTTTTTTTGCGAGGGGGGGGGGAGAAAAAGAAAAAATAACATTCAAATCCACAAAGATGCTGAACAAATTAACAAAGTTGGTTAACGTTCGCCTTTAAAAAAAAGTCTCCCCTCTTTTCTTCCAATCGGCACTTTTTTAGTGGGTGGGATTAGGTCTGAGACATACGTGTTCCGCCTTTTTCTTTTTTCTTTTTCCCCTCGGCCTTCTGCCAATTGCTGATCGGAGCCAATCCTGAGTCAAGCGGGGAGGAAAGGTCGCTGCGCTCGGCTAGAGCTGAAAAAGCTGAGAAACGAAACTTAAAACCTTTCCCACCGCCTTCCTCTGCAGGGAGAGACCATGGCGGACGAGAGCGCACTCCAGCATCTCTGCGATGAAACCACTTGTCCCATCTGCCTGGAGTATTTCAAAGACCCTGTGACCGTTGACTGCGGGCACAATTTCTGCCAGGCCTGCCTCACCCAGTACTGGGGGAAACCTGGCCGAGAGGCCTCCTGCCCTCAGTGCAGGGTACCTTGCCCACAGAGGGACTTCAAGCCCAACCGCCAGCTGGCAAGTATCGTGGAAATCGCCAAGAAATTCCGCCTCCAGAGGACCAGAGGGGCAGAAGCTCTGGGGAAGGTTTGCGAGAGACACCAGGAGCCCCTGAAACTCTTCTGTGAGGACGACCAGGCTCTGATCTGCGTGGTGTGCGACAAATCCAAAGAACACAGGGAGCACAAGGTGATTCCCAAGGAGGAAGCCTTTGAGGAATACAAGGTAAGACATTAAAGGAAATGGGGACTAGAGAATCATGAGGACTGTGTCCCTCTCTCTGAAAGGGACTGGACCCACACAAAGGTTTGGTTCCCCCCCCTCCAAGTGTGGACCTAAACAGGCGAATACAGTGGTGCCTCGCTTAACGAGCGCACCGTATAACGATGAAATCGCATAGCGATCTGTTTTTTCGGATCGCTAATGCGATCGCTCAATGTTTTTTTAATGGGGAAAAATTCGCTTTGCGAAGACCGGTAAGCGTTTCGCTTACCGATCTTCGCAAAACGACCCCCGCCGATCAGCTGTTCGGCGGCCAAAATTAACCTCGCTATGCGAGGCACCACTGTAGTTGCCTACATCTACTATTTCCCCCTTTGTCTAGATTTAAGGATGCAGAAACAACACTACTTACTTAGGCATCCCTCAGTCTCGAGAGACTAGGGTAAAGTGCTCTGAATGGAGGACTTGGAACAGCGTCTAGTGTGGCTGAGGAGGCCAATTCGAGAGTGACCATCCCTTCCACACGGAAGACCAATGCAATCTGTCCCCTCTCCAGCTCCCTGGTTTTGCTGGTTTCGGGACTGCCTCTTTGCCTCGGCCGAAACAAGACTGACCTATTATTAAAATGGGATGAAGCCGTTGTCTTTGGTGGTAAATGCTGGGTAGTGGGTGATGGCACCCTCACCTCTGCCCTCCTTGGTTTGGAGGATAACTGTGTTTATGGGTTGCTCCACTAGTGTGCTAGAGCCATGGAATCCAACCTTGGTCAACCCAGGTGTTTGGACTGCAATTCCCCAACAGAAACAACACTACTTACTTAGGCATCCTTCAGTCTCGAGAGACTAGGGTAATGTGCTTTGTATGGAGGACTTGGAACAGCGTCTAGTGCGGCTAAGGAGGCCGATTCGAGAGTGACAATCTCTTCCACACTGGAGACAAACCCAGTCTGTCCCCTGTCCAGCTCCCTGATTATGCTGGTTTTGGGACTGCCTCGGCCGAAACAAGACTGACCTATTATTAAACAGGATGAAGCAGTTGTCTTTGCTGGTAAATGCTGGGTAGTGGGTGATGGTGATGGCACCCTCACTTCTGCCCTCCTTGGTTTGGAGGATATTTGTGTTTATGGGTCCCTCCACCTGCCTACTGCCTTTAGTGTGCTAGAGCAATACAATCCTACCTTAACCCAGGTGTTTGGACTGCAATTCCCCTAAGCATTCACTGACTGAAAATATAAATGAAACATAAATCAGCCAATCCGTTTTCTTTCTCTAAAAGGAATATAGGCTGAATCAAGATTGTATAAGTCGCATAATGACCCTTAGAAGTTGGTGTGTGGAGAATTGTTTCCACGCTGTGGCTGTCTTCAAGCCCTCTTTGAGAATTCCTGCAGTACAGAATTCAAGAGAGCTTTTTCAACAACAATAACAAATTAAGAAAAACATTTTTGGAAGCGAGGAGCAGAGAACTGGGAGGCACCTGAATCTCCTATATGCAAAGGTTCATCAATTTTTTTTTAGATTATCAAATAGTGCCAGGAGAGGCATTGTGAAGTTAGTGATGGCGGTGGATAGAGGTCTTTAGGATGAGAAGCTGTGTGAAGAATGGAATAAACTCCTCCTCCTGTTTCCTAGAAATCTTTTGTAGGCTCCCTGTCTTTCTAAGCTTGAAATGTTGGCTGAAATCCGGTTCTGCAACTCTGTTTGCACAACAGGGATACTGTCATCATTGGCAGAAAACTACTGCAAAATAAAAGTGTTTTCAGAGTGCATGCCACCTGTACACAACATGACAAAGCAGTGTGCACCTCAAATTCCCCAAAGGAAGGCTTTAATCAGCTATTTGCTGCTTCTGCTGCTGCCATCATCACTATTGCACATGTGGATCTGCACAACAGCATTTCAGCCACTGCCTTATAGGATTGAAGCCTTAAGTAAACTTTGCCGTTATACTTCGAGGTGTTATGTCACCAGCCACCACAATGAGCCTCAGCGATCTTTTTTTTTTTTTGGTTGTTTGTTTATTTTGGCAGGAAAAAATTGTGAGTCAGTTAGAATTGGTGAACAAAGAGAGAGAACGCATCCTCGTTTCAAAACTGAATGTGGCGACAGAAGGCCAGGATTTACTGGTAGGTGGACGGGCGGACCCGATTCCCTCTGCAGCATGGCTTTCTGCAGTGCATGGCTTGTGAAACATGCTTGCATGGCTTCTGCTTTGTGAACTTTGAATATATATTGATTTATGCTTATGTAACACCATCGTTTCCTCAGCACTGTCTCGGTCATCCATGACAGTTCTCACACTAATACTTAAAAAAGAAAGAAAGGGAAAGTAAACCCAGTGAGTAAATTTTATGGGGGAGTGACTAGGAAGGCCTAGAATGGAAATGAGTCTGGCTGGTTACCAAGGGATGAGGCAGAATGTGTTAAATGAATAGTCAGTTGACCAGATGGCCAGGGTATAAATGCAAAAAATAAATTAAAGGAAGGAGTCCTGTCAGGGGATGATCACACGGAGACATAGTTCACGATCTGGACTGTTTGTGGAGTGTTCCATCCGGTACGATCCATTTCCTGGCAATCTCATAACATATAGGGACATGTGCTCCCACTCGACCTCAATCTGTGCCCAAATGAGACCTTTTTTGGCCCAGCGGTAGGGCTTCTTCTATTGGGGGCTGGAAGGATCACTTTAAGGGCGGTCACTCCCATTAAAGCCACCCTTTCTGGTACAATCAGGTGGTGAAATACATTGGTTGAGGGGAGATTTCACACACACAAAAAATATGAATTAAGTATATTTTAAGCTTTTTCATCATTTATGCAGCTGCTGTTACACTGGATTATTTAAATATGCTTATTCTTTTTGCATATATTAAATGTTATTATCTGTCCAATAAACTATCATTCTGTAATTAAAAACAGATTTAGGAGGCACAATCCACGAAGAATATCATTTGACACCTCAGGGCTCTCCTTTCTTCCTCATTCAATTTTTGCATTTCAGAAACAGACAGAAATAGAGAGAGAGAAAATTGTGGCCGAATTTAAGCAATTACACCAGTTTCTGGAAGAGCAAGAATGCCGTCTGCTGGCGAAACTGAAAGATCTGGATGATGAGATTAAAGCCACAAGAAATCAACACATAGCAGAGCTGTCGGAGAAAATGTCCTCTATGGAGAATCTTGTCAAGGTGATGGAGGAGAAACAGCAGCAACCAGCTGATGAATTCTTGCAGGTGACAGCAAAAGAAAGAAAGAAAAATCCAGGTTTTCCTCAAGAAATGGCAATCCTGAATGCTCAATTTATTTATACACTGCATATGGCCTTCAGCCTCTCTGAATGGCCTACCACACCAGTGGAGTCCTCCACAGTGCTGTAGTGGTAAAATATGAAAGTGGATGAGGCCATTCTTCATGAGATGATTCTAAGCAGAATTCTAAAATGTAAACAGCTGGTTCAATCTGTTTAAATAGCTTCTAGCTGTTTTCACCCGCTCTAGGAGCAGGATTTTACACGGCAGGTGAGACCTATGAGTAAGCTGCTACTGGAGTTGGCCCGTTGAATCAGTGGGGATTTCATGAGGGAACACCTGCATAAATCCCACTGAGTCAATGGGCCTATTCTAATTGCAACTTAACTGCTGGATGTATTCGCAAAGGATTTCACGGCTGGGATCTAATGGTTGTTGTGGGTTTTTTGGGCTCTTTGGATGTGTTCTGAAGGTTGTTCTTCCTAACGTTTCGCCAGTCTCTGTGGCCGGCATCTTCAGAGGACAGCACTCTTCAAAGGACAGCACTCTGAAGCACTTCAGAGGACAGAGTGCTGTCCTCTGAAGATGCCGGCCACAGAGACCGTTGAAACGTTAGGAAGAACAACCTTCAGAACATGGCCAAAGAGCCCGAAAAACCCACAACAACCATTAACTGTTGGATTTCAGCCTATGTATAGGTTTTAATTGCCCATTTAAGTCAATTCTGACTCATATTCCTTAAGGTTATCTCAGAGGATTGCTCACCACATACCATTCTTGTGGTGAAAAAAATCATTCTCCTTTCACTCAAGAAACTTGGGAGCAGCTGGGATGGGAAGCAGATTATATTTTCCTTGCTAATCAAAATGTTTTGCTGCTCTGACTGCTGATGCCATTGAGTATCTCGCCTGCCTCCCAGCTGATGGGCTGTCAACTGGGAGGAAGGGAACACATAACCTCTCTTCTGTTGGCAACATTAGTAATAGAAGAGAAGCCTTGTAAGGATTCTGCTTCTTAAAAGGAGCATTCCACTAGGTGAAGGAGCCAACTTTAGTTACCATATTCCACCACCCTTTGAACCCTAGGTGAAAACTAGAGGGTGCCTGAGTTGGCAACCATGGGCAAGCTTCTAAACCTTGACTTTTCCTACCCCCTTCTACTGGAACAGAAATTTCTTTAGCTGTATACTTTAGCACTTACACACCAGCTAGACCAGGTAGGACACTCCCATAACAAAAGTAGCAATTAGCTCTGTGGCTAATGCAACTTCTTTAGATGCCTCATCCTTGTTTCCCCCCCCCC